AAAAAATTAGATAAAAATAATTTTTATAAGAGGGGGGGGGGGGGGGGGGGGTTCTGGTATATGTTGATTTAGTTGATGTAAACATATTAGTGTATAAAATATTATAAAAAAGTTCTGACTTTTCACATTCTCTAAATAAAGTTTAGATGCCCAGATCAATTACTTTGCTTCCAAACATTTGAAATATCAACGTAATATCTGAATACTGAATAACTAATAATCCTAATGTCACATGTTATTCTCATTATAAACATCCACAGAGATACATTATTTTAAAATCTTTTTGTGCATGTTTCTTGCTTATTTATGCCACATATTGGTCTTTACTTAGATCAGAAGGTGGCTTCCCCTATGTTTCTCCAAATCTCCCAGTGGACCTCTGTTCGCTTGATCAGATTGACCCATTTCCTCAGTGCCTTGATACAGAGAGCTGAGAGCTGTGGTCATGGTTTAAAATTACTTGGTTTTCAGCTTTGCTTCTATAAGTGGTCTGGGTGGATTTTATGTGTTATCTGTCCTTTAATATATCTTGACCATTCTGTTCCTCTGGGCCTGTTTTCTCATCTTAGTGGTACAAAGAGACATGTGTTTGGCATTGAGGCAGCTCTACACCTGTCCTGGCTGTTGCAGCAGCTTGTGGTGGGCCCTGGGCTGCTGGGGGTCTTCATGGGTCTCTGCAGGCCCCAGACATGTCTCTTGGCTCCTGGCCCTCTCATGATAGATTAGCCCTGGGGTAAAATAGAGCCAGACACAACCAGGTCTATGCCAACTGTGGGAGCCATGCCCATGTGATACCATCAGGGGCTGTTTGCATGAACAATTGGACCTTAATACAATACATTATTATTATATTTTGGTGGTATGATCTAATTTTGAAGACAGACTGTGTTTATAGAAAGATTTCATTAAGAGTTTGCACTCTGGTTGTTGGGCCCTTCTGTCCTTATGATTCTTTTGAGGATGTACATACCCTGTAAAGCTGGGTTATTTCAGGACAGGACACAGGGTGTCTGAAATGTTCAGCAGAATCCACCTACTGTCACATTCACCTCTCCTGCTCTTCACACCACAATCCAGCATAGCCAAGAGTAGAAAATACTTCAGTGCCATCACAGCCCATATGTAGTGTAAACCTATCATTTTGGTTTATAGAGACTTTAAACATGTTTCAAAAGAACATTATCCAGAACAACCCTGGGTTCTTGTGGGGTTTCAACATGCAGCCATTTATGGAGCTTTTCCACTGCGTGGTACGACTCGGCTCGGCACGGCTCAGTATGGTACGACAAGGCACGGCTCAGCTCGGTTTGCGTTTCCACTGCAGTTTAGTACTGCTTTAGAGTAGGTGGGATTATTCACATGTCGTTATAGTTGCGCCGCCTCTATTGCCGCGACTCCTGAAAAACGTTTTCATTCCGCGTTGCCCCATCAAGCTCTTGCTGGATCCGCTCCTCTGCTATCAACGAGAGGAACGTCTGTACTTCCTCAACAGACAACGAAACAGCCACTTTTAAAAAAGGTGCGCTTGTTCAAAACAGTTGCGTTCGATCCTTCGCTGCCTGTGCTGATGTAAATCTAGCGGTTCTGGTGTGTTTGTGTCGCAAGTTCAGTGATGCAGGTAGTGACGATTCTCTCCGGCCAATCCGTGATCAGCAGAGTTTACACGTCACGTTTTGGTAATGGTACGGTTCACTTGGAACCTCAACTGAGGTGGTACTAAAAAAAGTACCAGGTACTGTACCCTGTGGAAACCCCCCCAAAAGGGAACCGTACCGTGCCGTACCATGCAGTGGAAAAGCGCCATTAGTTACTAGTCCAGATCTTTCACCACTAGGCTATTTATTCATACAATATAGTATCACTTTTGATTTTACACATAGGTTAGGCTCTTGAAATTAAAGTGAATCGGAATTTATATCAGTGGTCCTTTTAAAATGAATCAGATTTTGTATTCTGAGTAAATAAGTCAAGATGTGCAGTTCTTTGTACTTTGTCTCCTACAACGTTGTCACTTTATGGTACTATCGGCTTATGTTTTTGCAAGGACTAAATTAAGTTTAATTGCCTTAATCAAGGTTTGTTATTGTTAATTGGGAACTGTGATTTTAATCACTTGGTCTGCTGGTCAGTGGAATTAATAGCTGTTGATGCAAATTGCCACTGTTGTCCACAAAGTTTCATAACAGTTAGTGTTTTTGTCTGTACTGTCAGTGTCTATGTTGAGTTGTTCATTATTGTATTTTATCCCTAAGTTTCTTTTGTATAGCATGTGCCATAATTTTTTTATAAATACTATATTTACTAAATGTGGGGTCTAAGATTTAAAAAAATATTTTTTTAAGTTTTATTATGCGTATTAAGTGGGCATTTATTTGTTTAAAAAAATACAGTAAAACCAGCAATGTTGTTAAATATTATTACAATTTAAAATAACCATTTTCTGTTTTAATATCTTGTAAATATAATTTATTTCTGTAATGGTAGAGCTGAATTTTCAGCAGCCATTGAAAATCTAGGTAACATTTATAATGGTTTATAAACAGTGGTAAAAGTGCTTTAAAGATTAAGTCTGAGATGCTAAATGAAAATGGTTATACATAGTTAGGAATTAACATGCTAATGAACTGCTTCCCATATGTTTTTGTTGTTGATGACAAAGGCTGCAATTCCAGTCAAACCCAAAGTTGAGTAAAGACATTAAAAGAATGAATCAATAAAAAAAAATCTTAATTTTAGAAATCTAATGAATTGAATAAAGAATGAATGAATTATATATAAAATAAAAAATAAAACATGAAATAATGCAGCAAGTAAGGTAAATTACAGCATACTGCTTAGTGAGAGGCTGCACAGGTATAAAGATCTGCTTACAGCCTGGACTTGAATATGGCTACTGTTGACATCTTGTGGAATCTTATTTTTCCAGTCAGGCAGGGGGAGGATGGGAGGTCTTCATGCCTGATTACTAATAAAAATTTGCTGGGAGTATCAACTCGGGGGGCTGATGTTGCTGAAGTGACAGAGCCAAAACAGCTAATCTTCACAGTCACAGTTTCAAGCACTTAGTTTCTCAGTTGTCTGTGAAATAAGCTACTCCATTTCCCTGCACCCTGCTCTCTCTCTCTCTTCTCTCTCTCACACACACTCTTCTCTGCACTCTGCCCCCTAATACTGAATATTTTAATAACTTATTTAGGTGGGTGTGCCTTTAGAAAGGCAAGGCTATCATCTCTTATGTAGTCTATTTAAAAGAGTAGCCCCAAAATTAAATTTCTCTCGTTATTTATTTAAACCCATATGAATGACTTCCTTTTATCTGTGGATCTCAAAAGGCAAATTTTTGAAGAATATACTGATCATTCTGTTCAGTATAATCATATTAATATGAGCATAATAATGTGATCTTCTAACAGCACGGTTTTGTTTTACCCCTCAGGATGTGGAGATCCAAACGAATGCGGCGCTGTACCTCCCTCAGATCAGTGAGCTGCTGAACAGGATTCCCCGACAGATGCTGCTGCTTCTGAAAACCAACGACCTGCTGAGAGGCATCGAGACTATCCTGCAGACTAGAGCCAGCTCCAGCTCCTTCATCAATATGTCCCGCTGCTGTACCCGTGCCATTGCCAGGTAAGACATCAGCGACAGCAAAGTGGTTGCATTTTTATATTTTTTTGTGGTCCATAAGTTTGTTTATTTATTTGGCAAGAGTTCTAAATGGATAAAAAGTGAAGAGGCAGTAAAGAGTAAAGACTATATTGTTACAACAACAAAAAAAAAGCTGTCACGTAAATGTGTTCTTTTGAACTTGCTATTCATCAAAGCATCCTGAAAAACAATTATCATGGTTTCCACAGAAATATTAAGCAGTACAACTGTTTGCAACATTTATAAAAATAGTGTGTGTTCACGGAGTGTGTGTGTTCACTGCTGTGTGTGTGTGCACTTTGGATGACCATACTTGGCCACATGTCACATCACTCACTCACTTAATACTCTAAATATATACCTGCAGTATCCGAAATTAACTCTAGTGCCACGTGTAAAAATTCATTAAAAAAATTCATTTAAATGAATCACTTCATTACACCACTGTTCAAACTTTCTGGGTCAGTAAGATATGTTTTGAAAGAAATGAATACTTATATTCAGCGAGGATGGATCAAATTGATCAAAAGTAACAGTAGAGACAATATAATGTTGCAAAATATTTCAATTTCAAATAAATGCAGTTCTTTTGAACTTTGCATTCATAATAGAATCCTGAAAAAAATTGTTAAAAAATAAAATAAAAATCAGCTTGGCCATCACAGGAATAAGTTATGTTATAAAAGATGGTAAAAATAGAAAACAGGTTAAATTGTAATAATATTTCACAATATTACAGATCTTTATGCAAGCTTGTTTCCACTATGGAATACAAAAATAAGGTATTTGGCACTTTTTATCTCACATTTCTCACATATCTCACTTTTTTTTTCTTGTTGTTACAACTTTATATCTCACAATTCTGACTTCTTCTCAGAAGTGTGAATTTATATCTCGCAATGGCAAGTTTCTGAGTTTAAATCTCAGAATTAAGAGGGGGAAAGTCTTACATTTTGAGAATTGTGAGATAAAAAAAACTGCAATTACCTTTAAGTTTTTATCCCATGGTGAAAACAAGGTTTCATAGTTTTACTGTATTTTTTTTATCAAATACATGCAGCCTTTTGCAGCAAAAACATTGAAAAACCTTACAGACCCCATCCTTTGATTAGCTGTGCAATTTATTCATTTTTCTTTTTGTTGTTATTTTTGTGTACAGTATATATTTTTATATGTATATTTTTTGAATAATGCAAAATCTACTTCTGTGATCGGTAAGAATAAATATGTAAGAAATATTTTTTCAGCTCAATTCTCCTACATTTGGCAGGTCTGGGGAAAACCTTTGGACTGTGCTGAGCTTGCAACAAGTTGCTGTTGACATTTTTGCAAGGTTTTTGTCAAAGTAGGACGGGTGACGATTCGTGACCATCAGTCCCTGCTTTCTGTTTTCAGCCTGTATTCTGTTCATGCTGTCGCTGTGCTCCTGTCAGATGGTAGAAATGATACCACAGTGTAACATATCCAGTCTGACACAGCAGCTATGGTCTGAGGAGTCAAACTTGTCCACCTCAAAAAGCTTTGTACAGTTTGAATACTCGGAAATTAGAGCAAATTTACCCATTACCTTCCTCTCGTTTCTCACTCCCCTAATCTTTCTTTTTCCCAAGGGAACGTGTAAGGAAATTAATGCGATTTCACTTACTGTTTGTCAGTTCAAAGCTGTTCGCTGTGACAATGTGAGACGCGTTCAGGAGAGCGGAGGAGTCATTGTTTCCCCCCCAAGGACATCCCACTTACTACAGCCTTGACACTGCTGTTTCTCGCTGTCTCTCTCTCACACTGTTAATATTACATGACCTAGTGTGGTTTGTCTAAAGCTCTCACTTATACCATGGAGCCAGAGCCAACACAATCTGAATCATTTACAGCCAACTTGTTTTAACCAGTGTAATATCACCTCTCCTCTACTGGATCTTCGTCTTACTTATCTTTCTCGGTGTCTCTGTGTCTCTCTCTTAGACACAAGAGGAGTAAAACCAAGTCTCGGACCAGGCGACTGCAGATCTCTCTGTCTGAGCATTGGTCTCTCTGCCAGATAGGCCTGTATGAACTTATGGTGTGGCTCCGCAGCTCCACGCTGGCCAGATGGGTCTGTTACCTCCTCAACTTCCTGCCCTACACAAACTGAGAGCCTTGAACCAGGCCATTACTCCGCACTGAGCTCAACACACTGCCAAGTGCATTGTGGGTTGATCACGGACTGTTTTTAATGAAAGCTCAAAGTAAAAGTGTCTTTTTTTTGTTGTTGCTTGTTTAGTTTTAGTTTTTTAACTTAACTGACAGCCATAATCATGAGCGGTGACTGATCATGTGATTAATTAGTCATGTGATCTGTATGTGTGAGCAAATGCTCCATGCATGTTTGCTTTCTTCTAAAGTATCCAAATGATATTTTTTACAGTACTGTAAGTTAGTTTGCATCGTGCAGTACCTCAGACTTGTGAAATCACTTCTGGAATCAGCATTGAGCTGCAATGGGCACATCACGTCTACAGAATTTCATGGAAATTCTTCATTTTACATTCCTTCAGATTTCAGAACATCTCAAACATTTTAATATAACAGTTACAGAATAACATTAAAACAATTATAATTTATTTTGGGATTTATTAGATTTCCTTGAAACTGGTTTATAAGTCATGCTGGATCAATAAATGGGAGCATTTTTATTTTCCGTGTTTGTTTGCAGGTTTTCTTTTTTATCTTGTCTTTTATTGTGTCAGTTTTCAGTCACATTAATTAACCAGTGAACCAAAACGCATATTTTTCACGTGGAACATAACCAATGAAAGTTTGAATAATTTTATTGCTGCTTAATTCTGTACAAATAAGCGTATGGTGGTGACTAGGGGCTGTCAAGCTTTAAAAGGAAAAAAATAATAATTTACGACTTGTTTGCTATATTCTAGTCAGTGTTATTTCAGTATCATTGATACACTATTATAGTTTTAATATTTTGAATTATTAGATTTTATATTTTCTGTTTTCATTTTAGTTCGTAATTTTGTTGTGTTTTTGTCATTTTTAAGGTTTATTATGTTTTAGTTGTTAGTTTTAGTTGATTTAGTTTTAGTTATTTTAATACTTACATTTAAACTAAATGAAAATGAGAAATCAGTTCATGCTTTTATTTCAAGGGATATTTTTTTATGGTTTTAGGTTTAGTGAAGGATAATATCCCTGTCTAGATCATCATGAAGTTTAAATATGCGGAAAAGTAAATTAAATGTATGTTGGAGCTTGGACAGTCTTCCAAAAAAAAAAAAATCTACAAAAGAAAGAAAGAGTTTTTTGAATGACATGAGGGTAAATGTTCATTTTTTTGGGATGAACTACTGCTTTAATGGTTTCTTTCTTTTTCTTTCTTTTTCTTGAATAACTTTAGACCTACATTACATTTGACAAGTATATATGTAGTATTCTCTGACTGCATTGCATCCAGTACAATCAGGAGCTCATAACTTCATAAATGTTGTAAGCTAGACCTATATCAGATGTTAAAGAGTACATCACAGCCAGTCTTTTTTTTATCCAGAAGGCAAGTTTTGGATCAATTACACCCTGTTCTTCCTTCCCAGGTTAGCTTTTTCAGGTAAGACCCCAGGTTGAGGGGCCACAGGACCAGAGCATCACAGAAAAGCCCTCACTTTCCCCAGCCTGAAGGCAACCGCCAGCAGTCAGGAAGTCCAAACCCTGCCATACTAATGCCCTCAGGCTAGAGAGCAGATTTTAGCTGCCAAGCATTGGATGATGGACGCAGTTATCTGCTCAACAAGTCTCTTCCACATCACTCTCTGCTCAGCTGCACAGCTGAAACCAAATTGCTGAATCCCAGCTTTACCATCCACAATAATGTGTCATTTACTGTGTCCACAGTTAATCCTGTCAGGCATGAATGGCAGCTATAGTGTGTTTCCAGGAAACGTGCAAACTTGTAATTAATCATTTCTGTGGATGGGATGCACTCAAATTGCGTAAGTGCACTATTACATTTTTCTGTCCCCTTGATATTAGCTCTTTACAATTTCTGTTGTGTTATCCTTTTTTCTCACGTGTTATTGTTGTTTGTCATGTCAGGAAAATTGCCTTGGTTAGCAATAGTTGAGCTGAGCCCAAAAGATGGAGGTAACTCTTTAAAATAAAAAACCTAGGGAAATTTGATTGATTGATCTATCTATGTGTTGTTCTTGACTGAATCAATTCAGTGTAGTTTTATTATATTAGAATGATTTCTGAAGGATCATGTGACACTGAAGACTGAAGTAATGGCTGTTAAAAATTAAGCTTTACCATCATGTTTTTTTTACATTTTGAAATTTTACATTTTAGAATATATTAAAATAGAAAACATTTATTTTAATAAACTAATATCTGAAAATAAATCGTTTTTACTGTTTTTGACAAGATAATACAATTCTTTATTATGCCTTTGTGCTCCGTACCGACTGTATATGTGTGTGTGTGTGTGTGTGTGTGTGTGTGTGTGTGTGTGTGTGTGTGCATGCGTGTGGTAATTTCTCATGTAAAATTTTCAGTGGTATATTTTAATAAGTGCTTTTAATGAAATGAAACCATTCCTGAGAAATTATGCTGCTATCATATTCATATTTCTAACAAAAGGCACTTCAATGATTTACTGTTGTCTCAATCCCTCCTCCTCTGTTTTGTCTTTCCTTCTCCTGAAGAGTCATCAGATTCGGCTACATGAGCTTAAAATAGCATCTTGTTGTGATGCTGGGTGCCAGAATCTACGTAATACAGCCTCAAATTAGAAATTTGATCGCATATCTGCTGCCACTGCCATATATATATATATATATATATATATAATAACTTTAATATTTTTAAGTTTTTTGCTAAAATATGAGCCATTAATCCATAATAACACCTGTTGTCTTCTCACATTAAAATCCATTAAAGATTTTGGACTTTACTTCACAACACGCTAATTGAGGGACTGGAGTCGTGTGGATTACTTGTGGATTATTGTGATGTTTTTTATCAGCTGTTTAGACTCTCATTCTGACGACATCCATTCACTGCAGAGGATCCATTGGTGAGCAAATTTCTCCAAATCTGTTGTGATGAACAAGCACGCTCATCCACATCTTGGATGGCTTGAGGGTGAGTAAATTTTCAGCAAATTTTCATTTTGGGGTGAACTGTTCCTTTAAATCAGTGAGAAACATGAGAAAGCATTCATGTATACTTTGTAACATTTTATTGTTTTTATTTTCAATAATCCTCATAATTTGGTAATGGACATTCTGTGTTTCAGAGAGGGTGGTGTTTACATGTGAAAATCACTTTTAAACCATCTGCATCACAAGAAAAGGAAACCACACTAGCATGGTCGTTTCCTGACATTTTTAGGTTGGGTTGAGATGCAGTGGATTAAGCGTGGCTATAGATTTAAGAGCAACGGCAGCCATGAAAGACATTTTAATCTGCTAATGGAAAATCACATTATGTTTTTTCCCTCCCAATTTGGCTCTTCTGTTCTGGATTGCAGTGCAGGCTTGGATGGAGCCACTTTTCTTCTGGCTGTCCGCATGGTAAAACCCAGCATTTGAGATGGAGATTACTGCTCTCCCAAAGAATAACTTCCCCCTAGGATTATCTTCATTTGCTCTTATGCAGCCGCGACTTTTCTCATCGCAACCTGTTATTCCATCAGGTGAGGTTGGTGTGTGTTACCCGAGGGGATCCAGAGTCCCTCTGAATATTTCAGATGTCTGATATCTTTGTATGGAGTTCCCAAGGAAACTCTGGGAGCAAGATATTCATGTAATCCTGCCAATCACAATGCTCCAGGTAAAGAAAACACTGCTTAACTCACTTATCTGACTTTTTTTTCTTCTTTTTTTTCCAGCATCACTATTCCAATCCGTCTCCATATGTTTTCACAGTGTATGTTGGACCAAATACTTATTTTACCGAGGAATTTACCAATTAATTCTTTAAAAATCCTACAATGTGATTTTCTGGATTTTCTTTTCTCATTTTGTCTCTCATAGTTGAGGTATACCTATGATGAAAATTACAGGCCTCTCTCATCTTTTTAAGTGGGAGAACTTGCACAATTGGTGGCTGACTAAATACTTTTTTGCCCCACTGTATATATATATAATTTAAACTATATGTATTCTATATATAATATATACTCTATATATTCACAAATATATGAATTATTCATTATTTAGAATAAATAATATTTATGTAATAAAACATAAATATTATAAATATTAAATACATAAATATTAAATCATATATATATTAGATTGATTAGCTATTTTTATTTATTAGTTATATATTATTTATGTATTACAGCCAATCAAATATTGAAACCCACCCTGTATATATTATTGTTTTATTGAGGTTTGAACCTACAACCTTTGGTCACCAGACCTTGAGCCCCATGAGTACAGACAAACCTTTTTTCACATGATAAGAGGAAGAGTTACAACAGCTCAGGCATTCAGGCTCACCAGTGTCTGGAGATATAGTTCATGGAAGGCAGAAAATACTGTAGATGAAGAGAAGGGATAAAAAAGACCAAAGAGAGCAGAAACAAGTGTGCATGACCAAAGAACAATAAATCCAGTGGGCATGTATGCTGCTCCTCTGCGTTCTCAGGCTGCAGTGGGAAATGAGTTCATTTAATACTGTGAAATTCCATTAGAAGAGAACATGACGATTTTGAACAGCAAGCACGTGGTTTGCAGCCTCTTAGACACTCATAATTCCCATAAGTCCAACTCTGATGAAACGGCCAAAACATATTTATTCAGAGCTTTAATCTCTGTGATCACAAAAATGGCTTTACCGTTGCTTTGGAAACAGACCAGAAGTGAATGACCTTATTGAGTGTGTGTGTTCACCTCCTGTTTAAATGCGTAAAGTTCAAACCAATTTTTGAGCATTTAGCAGTGAAACAAATATTAGGGCAGTGAAAACGGTATTAAAGGTTTACCACCTTTCTGACACTGTTAAATATGATATTGTGTACAAATCAAGCATTATTTATTTTAATAATTAGTGTTGACACAGGGTATAACAGCTTTCCAAAAAAAATATATATATATTGAAAATTTTTTCACGGTCTACAAAACATTGCTTATAAATTTCTATCTATGCTATATATTAAATTCAATCTTTTTATCAACTTTTTTTCTTTCAATTAGCAAAGGTTTTGCAATTCTTTTTGGAACTGATTGATCATAATCCTTATTGAACTTAGCATATGCCTTGGGCCCAAAAATTGAATTTCTTTCTAAATACATATTAAGTGCAATGCAATAATATCCATATTCATATAATGAACAAAATATAGTCTAGAGAATACAGCGAGCAGCATGACAATCTTTAGCAGGTGCTGGTCACGTCAGGCCTCTTCTCATTCCTGCATTGATCATTTGGTGTAATTAAAGAAGAGCTTGCTTATGCAAAGCCCTGTAAATGAAGCGCACAATCATTAATTAGACTTAGATGAAATGCATTGTCTGTGAGTTGCTCTTGAGATTTGTCCAGCGATAACAAAAGTGCAGTTTGTCTTGAGGCAAGTCAGACCACTCTTAGTTAACTGCCACTCTGCCTCGCAAGGATCAATACTAATCTTACTGATTCAGGCAAAGCTCAGACCGTTTCAATAAACA